CTTACCTAACGGTGTTTTCCTTGAAGCACATAGATCAATACAATGCGTAGATCAGCGCCCCAAATTATAAATGCATTTTGCACGTATTTTTGGTTCGAATTGGTTTAGGTGGTTAGGACCATCTTTGCCATTTTGGTGGGGTATGAGGCCGATCTAAAACTCGTACTTTGGGTCCGGCACCTGGCCGCAGTGCGACTCCGCATTGGGTTTTTCAACCCTACCTGCCTTTAGGTTTCAACCACAGCCACCACGAATCTCCACAAAGGGCCGAACCCAATGAGCAGATTGGAGTAAACTCCAAGGGCTAACTGCTCCCCGTGGTAGCAGGTTAAATTCTCTGGTAAAACCTTGTAGCTTTTGCTGTTACCAGTTGAGCGCCCACATCTCAATGACTGGTGACATTTGTCGCTTGAACGTCAAATGCCTTTATATTAGGAATTTTATATAAAGTCTATAATATCATTTCAAGCTGAATATTATAGCACTATTTCTGACATAGACTGTGCTGAAATTTCAAGGCATGCCCAGAAAAAAAGCCATTGTGCATATGGATTTTAGTCGCCGCTTACCACGGGTAAATTCTAACCCCTGTCCGCGGAGGAAATCGTTGTTGACAGTCATAACTTTGAAAGCCACAGATAATTTCGTTCATCTTGGAAACCAGTATTAACAGCAACAACAGTGCTAGCCTAGAAGTCACCTACGATGACAACAACTGATGAGTCGACGTTACGACTTTTCGAGGAAACGTTCTGGATAAGTTTTATGAGATATACGACGGCATTGACATAGTTCGGCGAATTTAAAAAAAGCAGCTATGCTGGCTAGATCATGTGGTCCGAAGGGACGAAAACACTCCAGTTTTAAAAGTATTCGACGCAGTACTCGCCGGAGAAAGCAGAGGAAGCAGAAAACCTCAACCCTGTTGGAAAGACTGAGTAGAGAAGTATCTGGCTACATTTGGAAGCTCCAATTGGCGCCACATAGCAAAAAGGAGAAACGAATAGCGCGCTGTTGTTAACTCGGCCATAACTGCATAAACGGTGTCTTTGCCAATAAAGAAAGATAAGAGCATTTCATCTCGGCGATGAATCCAGAGCGCAGAATTAATAAAAATCGCAAGCGCAGAATATACGTATTTCTTAAATACATTTCTGACATTAATGAATTAATGATTTGAAATTTCAAGCTACATGCCGGAGCATACGATTTGAAAATAACTACGGTTACGTGCTTACGCGGTAACGCTGCGACATAACGCAGCATTAACGACGAGCACCAAGCAAAAGCACCGAAATAGCAGAGCAAACTGGAACATTACAAGTGCTGTAGCTATTGTTTTTTTATGCACATATCCGAATTCAACGTGCTCGATGAAATCGAAAGACGCAGTGAAAAGCATTCGACTAAAAATGAAAAATCGTGCCAGCGCCAAATGCGTGCGACCAGCAGCGACGATGGTGGCTATGATGTCAGCGCGGCTCGATGACTTAGCGCGTGAGTGCTGCGTCATATCGGCAGGGTATCTATCTACAAGCGCAATGAAGCCAACAAAATGGCTATCCAGCCAGTCGGTCTGGCAGCAAAGCGGCCGCGTTTATACTACAAAATTTCGCCGCTGGGCTACGCGTAAGTTTGTTGGGACAAGCCAAAGCCTGCGCTGATGACTCCGCGGTCGTGCGTTGAATTGCCATGGCAGTCATGTGTGTTGGGGCAGTAGGAAAGGAGTCTGGAGCAGTGTGACAAAGCGATATGACTTGCTTGAGAGTTTAACACAACAGAGCTTTGCCCCGTTGACTGGCTGGCTGGCTGCTTGACAACTCATTCCGTCATTAATGCACTGGCATGCCGATAAAACGTGTTCGATGGCCAAAAATTTCGTAAAATTGCCGAAAAATTCTAAATGGCACATTTCCCATTGCCAACGAGCACGAGGCCAACAACAACAACAGCACCGGCATATCTCTTCTGGCATGCAGCACACACTCACTGCAGTGACAGTAGGTGGAGACGGCATTCGGCTTGAGGACAATGGCAATCATGCTTGACTCATCATTGTGATGCCTGGGTGGCTGGCTCTGCCGGCTGATTGCTGGCTGCCTGTCGCAAAGCTTCGGCGCGGTGAAGTGTGCGATTCAATGATGCGCGCACAAATTTCGTTTTACGCTGTTGTTATTGGGCTCGCTGTTGTAGTTGATTTGCATACCCGCCACCCAAAAATCCGAGCCCCAACACGCACTCTATTACTCACACAGCAGCAGCCGTCCCTGCATCGCGCGCCCGCTCGTCTCAATCGAATCACCGCAGGCGAGTATTAAGATGTGTCGGCGTCACTGTCGCCTTTCGCTCCGTTAATGTTGACACAAAAGCCAAGTCAGTGGCTGGGATTTTCCTTTGACATGATTGCTGCGTCTAAGTAGCGACTGCTGCCCGGCAAAGGCCTAGCAGTTGTGTTGATAGCGCGGGTTCAGAGAGCGTGTTTAAAAGAGAATTGAATATTTGCCACGGTTCAGCAGCGGTGACCAGCTAATACTTAGGTGAAAGACTTTTGCTTTTTGACTTGTGCTCATTTAACGGTGCCTCAATTTGCATGGCATTACGGACGGACAATGTGTCGTCGTTGGCTTAGCGCACATCGATGCTATCTGTTCGGCGCAGTCGGTGCTGCAGGCGGCGGAGTAGCGACTATGCGGCGCTGCTCGCAACCAAATACAATATGCGTTCGTTTTTTATTCTTTTCGCTTCTTTTTTGGAGGAGTGCACGCAAAGTGAAAATCGATTTTGGTTGCGCCTTCTAAATCGGTATTGTGAGGCGTGTGCTTGTGTGCGTCCATCTAGTGGTATGTTGTTTTGTTTAGTTGTTGTTTTGACATTTCCTCGGGCGCTGGGGGTTAAATGTGCTAAAATGTCCTCTATCTATGTTCGGTTGGTTAAGACAGGAGGGTTGGTAGTTCGTGGTATAAGAGCAGAGAAATTGTGAGCATATTTGGGAAAATGTTGAAGCATGCGCAATTTAGCGTAGGCCTAGCAACTTATAGCTTACACTGAGAAAACGCCAGTAAATTAAAATAGTGCTTCATGAGACTACAGTTTGTTGTCTTATTGCCAAAATAGCGGTGGGAGGTCGGTGATGAAACAATTGTTGGGCCGTTTCGACGTCTTTTTCACAAACCCACATTTCCTAACCTCAGATGTTTTTGATAAATATACATAGAGTTATCAGCTTCGCTTTGGTGATCTCTATTCGACGCCATTTTTGTAAAACATTCCCGTCTTATGGTACGAGTCCAGAATTGATTCTCTTCATACTCAAAACATTAACCTAAATGTGTTGAGTCGAGCCATAAAAGATTCAAGCTTTTCACTCTTCATGGTTTCGAAAACTTAGCAGGACGGTTGTTGATCTGGTCACAAATCACATCGTAATGGCATCACAAGCGAGCAGTATGGGCCTTACTAACGATGACATATGTTGGCTCGTAATTAGGGCCGAATTTTACAAATCGATTTCTTGTTGACAGTTTGGCCGGTCGAAGAAGTAGACATAAGAGAGACGCTGGAACAACTCCTGTGTTTTTGAGCGATCTTAACTACAACTTGGCTGGGATATCCAGGGGCGTCTTAATACAAGGAATTGGAGGAACTATTATAATTAAATATCAAGTCTCTATTAAACTTCGTAAAAAGCGTTGACGTATTGCACGACTTAAACTGCAGCTCGTATTAATCACAAACCTACATCGGGTTCTACAAAAGACCTGTATGTTTATGTATAGTGTGAAAGTCAGCTAGTGTAACTTGAAAACATTTTAAAAACACAAAAATGCCAAAAAGTGAATTAAATCTCATTATGGGATTCTGAATTTATACTTCAAAATCTATGTCGTCTCCCTCCTCCCTCAAAGTATAACCTTGGTCCCAATTTACTTGTGCCAATGTTTATTCCACACCTCGAAACAGTTTTTAAAGTCATTTTTCGGAATTGCCTTCCATGCTCCTAGCGATTCACGTTTAATGTCTTCCATTGAGTTTCCCCGGAGCACATGTTTGAGTTTACTGAAGAGCCAGAAATTACACAGAGCTAAATCCGGCGTATTCGGTAGTTGCAACACGATTTTGGCTAAAAATTTGGCAAAAAACTCATAGAGAATCAATGCAATATGCGACGGTTCTTTATCGTGCAAACCCAAAAGTTGTTGGGTCATAATTCGAGCCGTATTTTACAAATAGATTCCTTGTTGACAGTTTGGCTGGTCGGCAGGAATTTGGAGTGCACCACACCTCGATAATTGAAGAAAACTGTGAACATAATTTTGATTCTTGACCTGCTTTGTCGTGGTTTTTTGGCTTCGGCTCACCTTTGCCACGATATTCGGCTAATTGAACGTCTATTTCCGGGTCGTAAGCATATATTACAGTATCATCGGTAGTAATAATACGTTTCATGAGATCCTGGTAGTCGGAAAACTTTGTTTTACAGCCGTTAACGCGATATTGTTTTTCGAAAAAATTTACTGATTTCGAAACCAATCGATTTTTAGAATCATTTTCACTGATCCTTCCGACATTGCAACAATGTCAGTAAGATTCCGGACTGTTAGTCATCGATCCTCAAGCACCAATTCCACTACTTTATTGTATGTTGGTACCGAAGGCTTTTTCCAACATTCTGAACGTTTCGGCAACAGAAATTTGATTCCGGACACAAGGCTTAATCGAACTTTTTTGTTGAAAAATTTCATTCAACGTAAAAATCGTTGAATACACTTGATGTACTTACATTATAACTAGCATTTGCCTAACTTTCCAACCGACCACTTTTTACGATTTATTGACTATTTAAAATAGTGCTCTCAGCATTTTCGAAGAGTTGGCACGCTTTCACTCACGCCGCATGCGTCGCACAGCTAACCGAGATTCGCTTGAACCACCAAATAAGCGACTTGACAAAAGAATTCCGTGCATTCCAATAGGGACAAGTCCATGCAGTCAGTTTACATTCGGACGCGGCGGTGGCTAAAAGTGTTGCAAATTGTCAAGCGGATGAAAAAGGACTTTGCTTTCAATTAAATAGCAGCACATAGCAGAGCATAGTAGACCATAGCAGAGACCAACTTAGTGCTCAGTGTATACATACATACATATGTATGTACATTGCGTATGTGCGCTTATATGCTTGTGTTTAAAGTGTTAGTAGTGTAAAACAATAACAACAAGCTAATAGCGAAGAAGGCAGCGCAAATGCACAGTTATACGCACATATGTATGCTGTTACATAGTTGCACATATATACAAACATTCATATATACAAACATATGCGCAGACATAAATGAGATTTAATTTGTACAACTATTTGCCGTTACTGTAACTGTGACTGCACGAATGCGTTGGCGAATGCGGGTGGAGAGCCAAAATTCGAAGATGAGCACCATTTTTGCTCGTCCCTTGCGCACGCATTCACAGCAGCTGCAGTGACAGTTGTACGCTTGTTTGTGTGTGTGTATGCTTGTGCGAATATATATATGTGTATGTGTTGCTATGTTTTTGCTGCCTTGCCTTCGCAGACAATAACAAATGTGAATGAAAAATTTCAAAGCAAAAATTTTATGGAAAATACAACACTCGCAAGCGTTATACTTATACGCAACAACAATAAAAAACAAAATAAAATAAATTATCATTTAATCAAAATACGAATTCTTGCAGTGTAAGCTCGTAATTTGCGTGCTACAAAGGAAACGGAAATTGCAAACGTAAATTACACAGGTCATTAAAGCGTTTTTCAGCGAACGAACGACGGCAAAGCAAACGCAGAAAAATAAGCGAAAACACACATTACACGAATATACTAAACAACATATAAAAGCGACCGAAAAATAACCGAAACAATAAAAGTCTTGAGTGCAACTGTTACGTCTATTACGCTTTACGTATCGTTGTTGTTGTTATTGTGAAAAGTTAAAAAAAACTAGAGAAAAAAGCAGAAAAATGAGGTGTTTACTTTTGATTGCCAGCATTTGTCTGGTGTTGATGTCATCCGGTCTGAGTGGCGCTGAGGCCAAGAAGAAGAAATACGTTGGCGAAAATGGTGGCGATTTCGAGTTTATCGATGAGGTAAGTGCGGCAGGAAACGAAAGCGAAGTGTGAGTTGCAGTAAAAGAAGAAAGCAAAAAAAAAAATAAATAAAATTCTAATACAGAGGGCGGCTACAACGGCATTGAGGCAGCAATAGTAACAGATATAAGCAGTAAATGTTGCAAACACATAATAAATGTATATAAACGTATATAATACATAGCTATGCAACACATTTACAACATGCAAATGACAACTAATTAGCGCGACAGCAAGTTACAAACGTCTGCAACGCTACGAACTGAGTGTGCTACATTGCGTATGAGTAACCTGAACTGCCTTGCTTTGACAAGTCAATCAACACACATACATATAAACATGGTGAAGTACACAAGGCACACATCTCCAGTCGACAAATGAAGCCAAACTGCATTAACGTGTGGTCACTTCTCGCCCTACACCATTTGCCGTTACCCCACATGCGTCGTGTGTTGGCCATAAGCCACCCACCCACACACCTGCCAGCTACTTTCTTATACGTCTCTGTATAGCAGCGCCAATCTACTGTTTTTCTTATTAGCATTTTTTCTTGGATTCTTCTTTCTCCTTTTTTTCAATTTCCTTTTTCACCTTTACGCTTCACTAGGCGCCTTTTGTCTGTGTCTGCTTTTGCCAATTACTCGCCCAAATCCGATTTGTTGTCGGCGTCGTGTGTGGTGTGTCTGTTATTGCGTTGCGTTGTGCTTTTTATTGTTGCTTCTCTGGTATTAAGCGCGCTCTGCTAATTCACACCCATAGCTCATCTACGGCATCAAAAACACAATTTTGTAACAACAAACAAACGTGTCTTTTTGTTTTTTTAGGGTGTGGATTTCTTGGGAGCATATAGTTTGAGTTCTTATGATATAATCATTTCGAGCGATTTTCAATGTGCTGATAGTCTAAGAAAATACTTTCTTAATATGTTTAAAGCGATCATATTCCATCATTTTGTATTCGTGGGAGAGCAGACGAATGATGAGGCCTCTCGAAGACATTTTATTGTATGATGGAAATAATTTTTCTAAATTGTTTAGCTTGAGTTTTCTTATAGTGAGCTCATAATTCGATTTAAAAATCTCTCTCCGCGATCAACACTCTCCAGTTTAGTCAAATATGTTTACCATGGCGATCTTCTTCCTAATAATTGGTAGTCACAAATGTCAGTCGATCATGTTTATACCCGTAATTCCAATTGCTCTGAACTAAGTTTAAAATTTGTTAGTGAAAAATCTTTGTTGAGGCAACTTGAACTATAACTTTGATGGTAAGGTTTCATAATGCGAAATTTCGAGTAGTTTTTTCTTGATAATAATGCGCCCTTTTGTCCGAAGTAGGTAAAATCAGCGTAACCGGGCCTTCATTTACCTATATAAAAATTTTCGAGCTCCGATTGCCGTAATACGGTTAACTTTTTTCAATTTGAAAAAATATCCATTATTTTTAATTCGATGTCGATTATTCTTCATTTTTGATAAAAATAATTATGTTTTTTTCCTCTAAATATTTTATTGTTATTTATTGTTATTGCAAATTTGCATGTAAAATATAATGTTTGCCAAATTTAAAAATATTAATTATTTTTAATTCGATTTCGATTATTCTTCATGTTCGCAAAAAATAACGATATTTTTTTCTACTCAGAATACTTTATTTACCATTTTTAAAAATGTTTATTTACTATTTCTTTCAAATAAAATTTTGTCAAATTTAACTTTTCCCAATTTTAAAAATAATGATAATTTTCAATTTGATTTCGATAAAAATAGTGATGTGTTTTCTACTCAGAATATTTTATTTACCATTTTTAAAAATATTGACTTACTATGTTTTACCAATTTCGATTTTTGATTATTTTTCAAACTTTCGACTTTATTAGTCAAAATATTTAATCTGTTAAGGTAGATTTTTATTTAAAAGTTAACTTTGTCCATTTTTAAAATATCGATTATTCGCTATTTCATCAAAAATAACGTGGTTTTTTCTAGTCAGAATATTCTATTTAAAATTTTTTTTAAATATTATCAAAAATCGAAATTGGAAATTTGAATTGCTATCTTTTTCAAATTCAAATTTCCAATTTCGATTTTTGATTAAGCTTCATTTTCGATAAAAATAACAATGATTTTTTTTGTCAAAATATTTTATATGTCATAGTAAATTTTTATGTAAAAATTAACATTTCTCCAATTTTAAAAATATCGTATATTATTAATTCGATTTCGATTATCCTCATTTCGACACAAATAGCGTTTTTTACTCAGCTTATTCTACTTACCATTTTCAAAAATATTGACATACTATCTTTCTTCAATTTCGATTTTTTATTATTTTTTATATTGATAAATAATGCTATAACTTTTCGTATCTTTTCTCATAACATTTCATCTGTTGCTGCAAATATTCATGTAAAAATTTATATTTCACAATTTTAATATCCGATAATATTAAATTCGGTTTCGATTATACGCCATTTCGATAAAATTAACGATGCCATTTAACTCAGAATATTATATTTCCCATTTCCTTTTCCCTATTTTGATTTTCACTCACTCATACAATTCATATGTTCAATTTAACGTTTCTTAATTTAAAAGTATCGATTATTTTTCTTTTTTTGGATTTCATTTATTCACAATTTTGATAAATTTAAGAATTTTTTTGGTTAGACAATTCTAATTTTTATACTTAATTTTGAGAATAAGTTAAGATATAATTAAAATATATCCATAGGTTCTAGTAATATCGAATAATTTTATTATTATTAAGAATGTATTTATACATTATAATACTTAAAAAATTTTAATATAAAACTGACCGCTTCTTAATTTAAAATTATCTATTATTTTTTTCAATTTCGATTATACTTCATTTCAACAAAAATAATGATTTTTTTGGTTTGATAATTCTAATTTTCATATTAAAGTTTAGGAAAAGTTAAAATTTAATTATAATATATCGATAACTTTTGGTAATATCGATTAATTTCACTTTCATTAAAAATTTACTTTAATATTATAGTAACAAATAAAATTTTTATATACAATTTAACATTTCTTTGTTTAAAAATATCGATTGTTTTTTATTCGATTTCGGTTTGGAAATTTCGATAAAACTTACGAATTTTTCGTTAAGACAATTATAATTTTTATACTGTTTTTTAGAAAAAAAGTTAAGATATCATTATAATATCTATATCGATAAGGTTTAATAATAATATGTAACCGATTTTTGCAATTTCCGAGCAATTCTTTCGGATTGGATAACCATAGCATATAAGTAGCTGCCATACCATATCAGTTATATTAAAATCAGATTATTGTATAAAAAAACTTTTAAGTTGTGAAGGGTTCTAATCTTTGTTACAAATCAAGTTAACGTTTTTTTTGTTTTAGATTAAATCCGGTAATTTCTATTTTGAAAATTGTCATCTCTAATTGCCTCATTGCTTTAGAATTCAAATAATTTATCTGACTAGTTACTTCTTAATTCATTGCATGAAATTTGTTCCGAAATTCTGGGAAAAATGTCATTAATAAAAAACTTTCTAACAAAATGCCAATAAAAACCACATACTCTACGTACATACATGCATATGCTTTCAATTCATATGTATATACATATGTATATGCATATATATATATATACTGTTTTTTGTATTCCTGGAAGGACGTGTCTATCTCGTGTTGCAGCTACTTTTGGCTGAGCGCTTGGTCAACGGTCACTTAGTTCGGCCAGGTGTCGATTGCTTTAATGCGGGCATTAGAGTGGTAGAGTGGCTTTTTCCAGAGCTATCTGCAATCATATATGCATACACACAAACATACATACATGCACACGTTAAGATAAGCAGACAACACGTCAGTGACCATTGTGTGGGCAAAACAACAAACTTTCTCAAGTCAGACGTTAATGATAAAGTTGTTTCTGTTGGTTATGCTCAGCTAGAAGTATTCCACGTAGCTATTTTGTGCATACGTGTGTGCAAGCATAGGCAACATTCCACTTCATTCACACTTTAATTTGAACACAGGTACTTACAAGTGGCGCATTATATTCACCCCTAGCGCTGGTCTGCTCGAAAGTTCTCTGGGCGCGCAAGCAGTTCTTCAGCAGTTAGGTGAGCTAATAGCCACGAGTCATATATACACTTACAAACACATCTCCGCTTACACAGGCTGCGTTTAGTTCTTCTGCGCCACACAACGGAAATCGACAAACGAAAAAATCAATAACATTCGGTCGCCTCGCAGATATACACTCACATATGCACATGCATATATACATATACACATATAAAAATACATATATTAACACACACATGCTCACATGTGTAAGCTGTGTGAAATCAGTTTCTCTGACGCTGCTGGCATGACTGTTGTCAGGTATCCAACTGAGTAAGCAATCTGTGCACGTGGCTCTCGAAGAAGGGGGCATATATTTGTAGAGTTGGCGGTTGTGGTGTAGTGTGAAAATAGTTAAGGGATGGCTATGGAGAATGACGGATTAAGCAAGTAGCTGTGGAAGCACACATTTATCTGAGCTAAGCGACTAAGAATCATCAACGCTCGGCTCGTTTTTATTGCAGATATTCTTGTCGTTGTATGTACGGCTGATATAATGCTGATTTTAGCTTTGTTGTTACTATACTTTTTGTGGTTTTTTTGTAAAGTTAGGCTGGTAAATGCGTTAGTGGTTTGCTGATTTCATTGTTTTGGAAGAAGTTGAAAAGTAATGGTTATAGAAACAAAAGCTTATATTATATGTATGATATCTATGTAAATATGTGTCTATATTTAATAAATTTTTAAATTAAATTTTAAAATTAAAAAAAATATTTTGATAGAAATCGAGGCAATAAATATTTTGATAACGAAAGTTATATAAAAATACTATATATTATTCTTTTTGATGCTATTAAAATTATGCAACGAGCTTTAGTAAACTTTGGCTTTTATTTTACACTTTTGATAATCACCAAAGTATACTTAATTTATATA